AAACGTAAGTTTCATGGTGTGATTTATCTTACATGTCCACACCTACTGTAAGGGTGCATTCCTTTGGGATGACCTGGATCAGGATCAGTGATCCAGGATCACTCGGATCATACATGTAGTGCATCAAAGGACTGATGAATGAATCCGTGACCAGAGAGGATTCACCGGTTCCTTTGATGCACCATGATCCGAGTGATCTTGGATCACTGATCCTGATCCAGATCACCCTAACAGAACGCACCCTAAATGTTTCTTTGTTGCAGTCTACCCATACATGTATGTGTAAGAGTGTGGTGGCTGAAGTATGGTGTGCTATTGTTGCCATGGGGACCATTGTGCTTTGTCTAGTCCAAGACACTTTCCTCTAACATTGCTTTTCTCAACCTAGTAGGGGTTGGTATAAATTACATAATGCTGGGCACGGTACATGGTTTGAGTATTAGAGGTTCAACTGTAGTTGGTGACTGATGTTTCGACAGCCTGAGCGGAAGCCATCTTTTCAGACTCTGAAGATGACTTCCGCTCAGGCTGCGGAAACATCAGTCACCAACAACAGTTCTTTTCAGAACTAACCTCAACCGGACGATCAGACTATACAAACTTCTTAAGGCTGTGTGATAACTTTAATTAACATGACAAGCGTAGTACTTGAATTTGAGTTTTCTTGCCCGTTATCTTTGTTTTTCCACTCATTTTAAGTAGTGTGCCTAGGTGTCCGGTCGTTTCGATGCAAATCGAAGTCGATTCGTTACATGTCGTACGTCGATTCGATACGCATCCACAGTCTATTTCATGCAACTTCTATTTACCAGGAAATGTTTCGTAAAGCAATTTTTCCCGTCCTTCGCTCCTCATATTGTTAGGACTTCAGACTTTTTTTCCTCCATCAAAAATCTTTTACTGAATTCAATAAGTTTTATGTGTAAAATAGCTCTTAAAACCGAACGTTTTCTCACAGTATCTACTGTTCTGTCGGATGCGTTAATGCGTGAACGTTGCTGTACAAACAGTTTATATAATTAGTGAACAAGAAATCACTGTGATCATAATGCAAAGACAAAAACACGTTAATTGAAAACTTTCCTCGAGTTTACTTAAGCAACGAAACGTGAATAGACTTTGATTCGTATGAAACGACTTTGAGTAGAAACGTCCTACATTGTTGTACAACCTGTGCCTACAGTACATACATGTATCATGTACAAATGTTTTGCTCTTCAGGCTGAGGATCTTTGAAGTGTTTGGTTGCTTTAACATCACTCCAGCCGGAATACGAATTCTTGGTCAGACCTGCAGACAGCTTCAAACTCTGAACATTGGACAGTGTTACAAGGTACTGTACGTAGACTGTACATTGATATTCAAAAGGGTATTGTCTATGTTCCCGTTTTCAAATGTGGAAATGGCTCCATGGCGAACAATAAAAGAAATAACATGATATTTTTCACAGTCTACTTTGATACTACATGCACCACTGTGAGAGAATTGGCACGAAGTTATAACACTCAAATCTCTTTTTTCGTGCTACATTATTTTCACTAGAGTCTTATCATAATCAAGAGCAACTGTCACAGAAGAGTAATTTGTAGATAACTGGCCTCTCGCTAGAAAAATTGCCTAACAAAAGGCGCTGCTTAGAGAGTAACCCCACCTGACTGCATCGGGTTTGTTTCATACTTTAATCCCCCAGTGCAAACAAGCCTTTACTGAGGGTTTTAATCCTTATTTGTTTTTAGGAGAACTTGAAATTGCGGTCTAATTATTGACTGACTTGTTTTTTTTTCCATTACAGATCACTGACTCAGCCATTGGTTCCTTAGTATCTAATCTCCAAGAGCTGGAGAATCTTGATCTGCGAGGATGCAAGCAGGTATGATAATTCACCATTTTAGTAACGCTTACGTTTATTAGCTTCTCTCAACGAAGGGCAAAATCGTTTAAAAAAGGTTATGTTACACGGACCGATTTTTAATACCGATTGTTAATCCATGTTACACGAGAGAACTTTTGAAGCAACCTTGTTGCGGCGACGGTCGGCAACGGTATGTTGTTCATGCACAATTCGGGCAACAATGTTGCAGGTTTTTGAATCGCTTTCAAAAACTTGCAACATGTTGCCGCAACGAGATGTTGCGTTAAAAGTCGCCTAGTGCGCCATGTTACACGACATCGATTTTGAACGCAACAATGTTGCGTTAAAAATTGGCTCGTGTTTACAACATCACCTTAAAGTAGAGAAACACGAAGTGATGAGATAGTAAAATTACGTTAACAAGGAAGTTAGCACGAGGGGCAAAAAGGAAAACACATTTGATGGGAAAAAGGGGAACAAATTCACATCAAGCAAACCAGTGCAATATCGGATCGCTGGGTAGGCGAGATGCAAAGAAATGACTAACAACATTACAAGTAGGCTTTCTCAAAGTCCTTCTTTGTCGTACGTAGTCCCGGCGTGAAGGACAAGGTTACAACTACTCCCCCTGCCGCCCGTCGCACTCGGGTTTTGAACATCGCGGACTCTTTTTTCTCGCGCCGCGCTCAGCTTTCTTAGCAAGTCTAAAGAATAAGGAGTAATGGGAAATGCAATGAGCCAGACGGAGAAAGCTCTTTTTTCCTGCCAATTACTATTTAGGATCGAAATAATACATGTTAATGTAGCGAAATTTTAAGACGCCGCTTTGTGAACGGCGCTTAAAAATTAATGTTTTATTAAATTAACTCGACTTTGACAACGCGAAGTTTTTTGAAACTGTACTAATTTCATGAAGATAAGCAATTGTCCTCGAGATCCCAATTTTTTGTTAGAGCAATTGACGGCACTAAGACATTTAGTGAACCTCGTATCTCAGGCCGTTGAATGAGCTGCACAAACATTGTGCTGAGGTCACATGAATTTCTTTCTCATTACCTGTGCGCTTTACTTTATATCAGGAGATATAATCGATTATGGCTCCAGTTTATATTGAGATCGTCAGGGGAAGTCAGTTCTTGATCAGATTCATTAAATCCTAGGTTCGTGATTCAGCTGTCAAAAAGATCGTGCGTCACTGTCCACTTGTCACTACTCTTGCGCTCGCTAACTGTCCTCTGATCACGGATGTGTCTTTAGCAGAAATTGCCAACAATCTTCCAAGAATAAGGTAAGACTCTCAACCCTCAAGAAACGTTTGCTACAGTAGCTCCTTTCCTCCTGCATTGCCCTGTACTATTTTTTAGTTATTTATGGTATTGCCCAACAGGTCTCTGGATATATGCGGCTGTTCTAATGTGAGTGATAATGGTATCTGTACACTGTCCAAAAGCTGCCATAGACTGGAATTGTTAGACCTGACGTCTACTGGAGTTGGTCACAAGAGGTTAGTTACAAGTGTTTTAACGTTAGGCAAATTAACCACCGTTGCGAGTTAGGAAAACCTGATGTTTCGAGCGTTGGTCCTTCGTTGGAGCAAAAGTAACGATGTTAAGTCACATTCATCCCTACTTGTTCTTTCGCCAAGACCTCCTGTGCTGCTCTGTGAGCTGGCAAGTTCCTGCTCGGGATTGCCCGCTCGGGTTTACCTTGCTTCTCCTGTTCTAGTTCTTTTTTCCAAGTCGCGAACAGGAACCTTCTAAAGCGACCAGTATTTTTCCATCTATCTTTTCTAAAATACACGCGCGCCCCATGTGGAACGCGCGTGATAACGGTACGCAATGTTGGCGCAATTCATGCGCAGGTGATCTCTGTAACATAAATTTACTTGCGCGGTTTTTTCTTTTCAGCGTCTTGTCTCTTGCTAACTACTGTAGTCAGAGTTTGTGTAATTTGAAGCTAAGTTTCTGTACAGACATTTCTGAAAACACGGTGGTTCATCTCGCTAAACGCTGCAAAAGGTAAGTATATTTTTATTTCATCACAAGGCACTCCTCATCAGTTTTATATTTTCGTTTTTCTTTCGTCTTACTGTCGAGTGAAGTTCTAGAACGGGTAGTTCCTCCAATCATTGCAAATAAGTAGCGAACTCTAGAACGAAGGCTAGTTTCTTTATTTTGTTCCGCCCCGGCAAGTTTTCAAACTGTTTAAGATTCTTTGCTTAC